CGACTGACCACAATTTTGCGTTATGTACTAACAAACTATGTTCGATGCTGTTTTCAAGGCGAATACAAATTTATTCAAGGACAAATTAGGACATTTGAAGAATATCGCACACAAGCTTTCTGGGTTAGCTATGGAGCATCAACACTGTGGGCTCCGCAACTACGGCAACCACACCCAGTAATAAATGTTTCTACTAAAGATGTCATACCTTCATCGCTAGCATTATCCAGTTGCGACACTTTGGCAACAAGACGGTCGAGACGTGTACACAGCGTGTTCGCTTTGTGCTCGACCTTTACGGCTTCATGGAATATTTCGCCGAATATACTTTCGGCATGCCAACTCAGTGAGCTCAGCTGTCGTATGATGTTGGCCAGGGTGCCATTGGCGACGCATTCCAATTCGTTCTTAGTGATGTCTGACGGAAGCCGATTTCGACACAAATTCAACGGTGATATTGTACGCTTCGTCAGGGGCATTGAATTACGAACACATTAGAGTAACAGCGCAAGCAAAGGACGTTTCGACGAGACAACAGTCAAATAATCTAAAACATTGGTTCACAACTGTGATATACGAACCTAAGTCGAGCCAAAACAATAACAAGGGTGTTGCTACAAACCCACACTTTACTAAGCCAGTTATATAAGTGATGAAAAGCAATTATCCGCAACCGAAACAGATTTATCGTCTTAAATAATCTGCTTTATTTATAAGAGAAGCCTAAAAAGGCACTGGCAAATCAGCAAGGAAGTCATGTGATTCCCATAAAGGAAAATATACCCCATTAGTTACAAGTTTGGCCTCAGTATTGCAAGACAGTTACGATTAATCTCTGCCTTAAAATAGCCCAACAGCTGGCTTAAAAGAATGTCTGAATCAGACACATTCACAAAGCATCCGACTACTCATTGTGTAAAGAACAACGAATTTGCGACTAGATGGTGGTCAACTAAATGACAATGAATGGCCCCCTAATAAACACTTCGGCTTAAACAGTCAAAACTTTAGACAGCAACCACTGCTTTCGCTTCACTGAACTTTATGAGGAAACGAAACATGTAGATCATGAGAAAAACAGGTGATATGACAAAAACAATGAAATATATTTTGCATTTTCGCGTTTATGGATCAGCAATTTTTCAAAACAAAGTACAGAGATGTAACCTTTTACTGGTTATCTGTCGTATGCAGCTGTTACTTTATCATAATCATCCTTGGTCGCATCACAAAACTGCAGTATTTAAGATTCATCACGTTCACTCATCGCCGCAGCTAGCGTTGTGCTTGGTATTTACAG